CACCACTGATGACCTCCTCAGTCACCACTGATGACCTCCTCACTCACCACTGATGACCTCCTCACTCACCACTGATGACCTCCTCACTCACCACTGATGACCTCCTCAGTCACCACTGATGACCCCCTCAGTCACCACTGATGACCTCCTCAGTCACCACTGATGACATCTCAGTCACGACTGATGACCTCCTCACTCACCACTGATGACCTCCTCACTCACCACTGATGACCCCTCAGTCACCACTGTGGCAGGGGTCAGTGCAGTCACTGGAGTTGTCATCACTGGACGGGGCGCTCACCACACGAAGTTATTTGAGTGGTGCGACGCCATCACAAGCAGACCGCGCAGCCTACGACGCTGTTGCAGGTCCGCCTGTAGCAGGCCACCGCGGCCATGATTATTAATTATATACAATACTTACTATTAAATCATCAAGGCCATGATTATTAATTATATACAATGGTTAAATTAAATTATCATACAGCCATTGTTACATCCAGCGAGAAATCATATTGAATAATCATATATTCACTCGGAACAATGGAAGGTTCGGATTGTCCAAATACTTTGAATTAAATTATCATATATTCATTCAGAATAATGCATGGGTCAGGCTGTCCAAGTAGTGATATACTTTATAACCCGCAGTATAAGCAAAAAGGGAAAAAAATAAAATGCATAGTTATTTGGACAAAGTTTCATTCATTTCCCTAACAAAATTTGGGTACCGCTTAGGCTTCGGCTCAGGAGTCGCTACACTCGGCACAAAGTTATTCAGCGTCTGCTTGGCTATATGTTCGAAATTATTTTCAGCTCAGAATCTGTTTCCAATTTAATTGTCGTCAAAAAGTATGACAAGGATTGGCATTGGCCTAGCGGGGTCATACCGAGCTTGCTAACGGCCCGAAGACCGCCCCTCAAGCTCGGCCGAAGCTGACATTAGCGGCTGATTTACGCGCTCCCCGAGTCCTGGGCGGCACCTGATGCAGAGTCAGGCCCGCACCAAAATTTTGTTAGGGAATCAGCTGGCGCCTGCTGGGCAGAGTGTAACCAGCTGGCGCCTGCTGGGCAGAGTGTAACCAGCTGGCAGAGGGCTTGAGGTCCCTCCACCACCTGGGGCGGTGGTACAGACACGTGGGGAGCTTCACCCCCACCGAGAGGAAGGCTTGGCCGGAGCCCAGGGGCAGGGTAGAGGATTGGACGGGGGGGCGCCGCGCCCGGCCGGTGAGGGGGCGGCTGAATAACACGTGTAGTGAGCCTGGGTCTATACTTTCAAAAAAAGTTAAGAGATCGTAAGTTCATCTGCCAATCATTGACGGCCTTTCGAACAAAATCCACCAATCATAGACAAGAAAATAGAGCGTAAGTATTTACGTTCTCTTAGCGAGTTTTGAAAGTATGGCCCCTGCTTAGTTTTGTTCCTGTTCCTATAACAAAATTTGAGTACCGCCTAGGCTTCTGCCTTAAGGTCGCTACACTCGACTTCTGCTGCGAAATATTTTTTTGGGCTGTACCATCAGAAATAGTTATGTGTTTGTAACCTCGTCAGCCAATTTAATATAATTTGTTACCCCGTCAGCCAATTTAATATAATTTGTAACCCCGTCAGCCAATTTAATATAATTTGTAACCCCGTCAGCCAATTTAATATAATTTGTAACCCCGTCAGCCAATTTAATATAATTTGTAACCCCGTCAGCCAATTTAATATAATTTGTAACCCCGTCAGCCAATTTAATATAATTTGTATAATTTGTCCCCGTCAGCCAATCACTGACGGCGTTTCGAGCATGCCCACCACTCACAAAAGAGAAATTGTCCGCTTCGTATATTGAGACCGCTACGTGTACCTAGGCCTCTGCATCAACTACAGCGAGTTATATAGTGCGTCCAGTGTCAGAATCTCCTTTCCAAATATTTATTGTCCTGTGAGTATGACAAGGGTTGGCCGAAGCAGTATCATGCCGATCTTGCAGGCTGCTTTCCCTAACAAAATTTGGGTACCGCCTACGCTTCTGTCCATGAGTCGCAACACTCGGCCTAAAGTTATTCTAGGTCTGCTTGGCCACCCGATCAATCGTAATCAGTTTCAGAATTTCCGACTTTATATTTGCATGAGAATATGACAAGAGTTGACCTGACCGAGTCATACCGAGCTTGCAAGCTGTCCAGAGACTGCACTTCAACCCCGGCCGAAGCGGACATTAGCGGCTGATTTACGCGCTCCCCGAGTCCTGGGCGGCACCTAATTCAGAGTTGATCCGTACCAAAATTTTGTTACCCTAACAAAATTTAGAGTCGCCCCAGCTTCTGGTAATCCAAATCAGAAGCTGCCGCGTCGGTAAATTTTCACTGGGGTATAGGTTTGTACTCACCGCCAGGAAAAAAGCCGAAGCAGACATTAGCGGCTGATTTACGCGCTCCCCGAGTCCTGGGCGGCACCTGATGCAGAGTCTGGTCTGCATATAAATATTGTTAGCGAAACCGCGTATTATTGTTATTTTATATATTAGTTAGAAACTGCGTATTCTATTCGTTAATTTCCGAGGATTCTATCTGTTGATTTATTCTTAGCTGAGAAGACCGAGAAGATTTTTAGCTGAGGATCTCTTTAGCTGAGATTGACTATGATTAACCTGCTTTTATCGGTCTAGATTAAGCCGATTATATTCTGTTCGAATAACTTGGATTGTGTTGCTAGGCATATAGAGCGAGGCTGAAATTAATAAACATCGTGAATTGCAGTGTTTTTATTGATCGTCTTAGATTTTCTGTATGTTTTATAATCTCTTGTTCCGACATTCTTACGATTTGTCTTGGTTCTTCCGTTTCGTGTAAATTCTTCTGCTTTGTCATGAGTTTTCTGTTTTCTAAGAGTTCATCTGTTTTGTCTAGATTCTTTATTTGCATGAATTCTTCCGTTTTATCTAAAATTTTCCGTTTTTTTTTAAATTCTTGTTTTGCATGAATTTTTCCGTTTTTTATTCAAGATTCTTCTGTTTTGTAATAATTAATCTTTTTATCCTGATTCATTCGTTATAATGAAAATATGACGAATTATATTTTATGTTACATAAATAATATATACGATAGCTTTAATAATACTATACTAATTACCTTACGGCGTGCATTAACTATTAATTAATCAATGCTATGATAATGATAATGTATTGATAGTGTGGCATATACATAAGCGCTGGTAGTTGTTCATTTGTTTAGTGTTTAATTATTGCATAATTCGTAACCCTAACCAGACCCTAGTTCAGACCCTAACCTTCTCCCCATGCAGGGTCTGGTCGCCAACGAGACCCTGGGCTACTGCATGACACTAACCTTTTATCTTGCAGGGTCTGGTCGCCAACGAGACCCTGGGCTACTACATGGCCCGCATCCAGCAGTACCTGCTCAAAGTGGGCCTAGTGGGCCCAAAAATTCGCTTCCGTCAGCACCTGCCCAACGAAATGGCCCACTACGCATGCGACTGTTGGGACGCTGAGGCCCTCACGTCCTACGGGTGGGTTGAGTGTGTATGTCCGTCCGTCCGTCTGTCTGTCTGTCCGTGACCTCAAGTTTTCGTCGACGAGAAAATGCGCTCTCTGTCACTCACTGCAGTGAGGACTGAGTTATATTTGTGGTGAATATCTCTGGGTCTTCGCTTGACGCGCCCCTACAGAACCTGTAGGAGGCCCTTGACGATTCGTTTGACCAGCACTTCCTATTAATCTAATATCATCTCAATCAAAATTTCTATCAATCACCATTGAGCCTCTCTTCAAGCGGGTTCTTACGCGGTCAATCGCGCTTGATTGTCAATTGATTTCAGTTATTTATTGTACTTGGTAATCTGAAAAATTGTCATGAGGTGTAATGTCCTATTCACATCGAGATCCATACAGGATTGAATTCGTGTAGAATTGAATCTGTGTAGCATTGTATCCACGTAGGATTAATAATAGGGAGGATTGAAACCTGATTGCAGTCGCGCTTCATTCAAATTGGTTGATACAAGCTTTTGATAATAATGAGTCCTATAAATTCAGCTCTTAACTGAGCGTCACACGTCCGCTCGCACGACTCGCCCGCCCTCGACTGACTGCGGTGTTACGGGCAACCCGCCCGCACCGCGTCGCTCCTCCCACTCTCCCTCAACTAAAGTCTCCCTACTGATTTATTTATCTCCCTATTTTGCTAAATATGGTCCCTGGGATAGGACTTTACTAAATAGCAAGCCACGTCCCCCACGCCCCCTAACACGTCTCTTGGTCGGCAGGTCGCCGACGTGGCTGACGTGGTGGCGCGGCTCTCGTCAGGCCTCGTGACGTGGCAGCAGGTCGTCGCTCAGTGGCCCAAGTTCACCCAGCAGGAGACCACCAAGTGACGTGCCACTAGTGACGAGTAACTAGCGACGTGTAGCGCTAGTGAAGGACCTGCACTAACGGCGGTCATGTACTAGTGAAGCCAGGATATCTGGCGTCGTCTGAGCAACTCAAGTTTCGTCATCCAAATTTTCTGGCCCACTTAAATTTTCGTTAACCTAATCCTGAACAGAAAAATTATTGCACTACGTTCTAAATTCCCAACTTTTGTATCAATTAAAACTATTTTCAATTTCAATTGTTTTCCGTGCTCGCTCCTGTCATTCACTATTGAATCTCTTGCTTATGGTATCGATTTATTTTGTTATTTTCACAGGGTTCCTACAATTATGGATAATTTATTTCCATTTCAGGATATATCCTGATTAACAATTGTGTTATCACCAATTATATTGTGTAACAATTACAACAATCGCTGCACTTAGTTCCGAGTTTCTAGAATTTCTTGATACTTAGTACACTTTTTGCTAGGTTTTGTATTTCCTTGTTAATTTAAACGTTGATAACTGGAAAGTTGTTATGATTACCCTTTTCAAGGTACCGATAAATATTGCCGGAATTACTCTTTGGATACTTTACCCAATTTCAAGTAATCTGTTATTGATGTAGAAGTAACTTAGTGTAAAGTAACTTTTCATTGTATATTTGTACTTCATTTTTCCGCAGATGATGAAGTTAATGGTTGATATGGTGAACAAAAAATGACAGATGTGATCATATTTGTTCAAATTAAACGCCTTTATGTACGATATTGATTACCAATGATAGAATTGCCGTATTCTTATAACAAAAATTCCCAACGAAAATACGGTGAATCATCTTGCCTTAACAATAATTTCTACATTTCTGTTCAATGAAATAACATTTAGGATTAAATAATATTCGAAATAATAAGTTACAATAATATTCATAAGAGTAGAAAATTCTGAACAGCTTTAAAGAAATATCGAAAATGATATTATTTAATAAGTTTAATCTTTAGTGGTCTGGGGTCTGAAGGCAAGATATGTAAGAAATTATCATTAAATAANGCCCAGGGTCTCGTTGGCGACCAGACCCTGCAAGATAAAAGGTTAGGGTCATGTAGTAGCCCAGGGTCTCGTTGGCGACCAGACCCTGCAAGATAAAAGGTTAGGGTCATGTAGTAGCCCAGGGTCTCGTTGGCGACCAGACCCTGCAAGATAAAAGGTTAGGGTCATGTAGTAGCCCAGGGTCTCGTTGGCGACCAGACCCTGCAAGATAAAAGGTTAGGGTCATGTAGTAGCCCAGGGTCTCGTTGGCGACCAGACCCTGCAAGATAAAAGGTTAGGGTCATGTAGTAGCCCAGGGTCTCGTTGGCGACCAGACCCTGCAAGATAAAAGGTTAGGGTCATGTAGTAGCCCAGGGTCTCGTTGGCGACCAGACCCTGCAAGATAAAAGGTTAGGGTCATGTAGTAGCCCAGGGTCTCGTTGGCGACCAGACCCTGCAAGATAAAAGGTTAGGGTCATGTAGTAGCCCAGGGTCTCGTTGGCGACCAGACCCTGCAAGATAAAAGGTTAGGGTCATGTAGTAGCCCAGGGTCTCGTTGGCGACCAGACCCTGCAAGATAAAAGGTTAGGGTCATGTAGTAGCCCAGGGTCTCGTTGGCGACCAGACCCTGCAAGATAAAAGGTTAGGGTCATGTAGTAGCCCAGGGTCTCGTTGGCGACCAGACCCTGCAAGATAAAAGGTTAGGGTCATGTAGTAGCCCAGGGTCTCGTTGGCGACCAGACCCTGCAAGATAAAAGGTTAGGGTCATGTAGTAGCCCAGGGTCTCGTTGGCGACCAGACCCTGTAAGATAAAAGGTTGGGGTCATGTAGTAGCCCAGGGTCTCGCTGGCAACCAGATAATCAATAATTAATTAGTAATTAATATTGTCACCTTACGTTTGTCGCAACCTTCAATCTTGTCAGAATGTCTCGAGCCTTACGGAAACTATCTTGTAAAAATACGCTCTCTTTGATGAAAGTTCAATTGCACTTTATTGCACTGGAATATCGTCGGTTAAAATTGGTTAACACGGACAGAACGTCATTTTATTTCAGTAAGGAACAGTTTAAAAGAAGCACGGTTAAAATTTCAAACTGAAGTGACATCAAGTTCATGGTCGAGGAACAGTTTGATAAATAAAATAAATATTTCACGGCACAGCCACGACTCTAGCGCTAGGGGACAAAGAATCGCTGAAGCGGAGTAAGTAAAGGTTAGAACCTCACTGTAGAACTGGAGGGTACATGGGGTCTAAGAACCCCATGTAGAACCTTACTGTAGGGCTAGGGTCATAGAACCCCATGTAGAACCTCAATGTAGAACTAATGTGTTTATATACTTGGAATATATCCTTCGTGAGGCACTTACGAACTTGCATTGGGCACGTTAGAACTATCTGAGACGCGTCGAGATCTGAGACACGTCGAGATCTGAGACACGTCGAGATCTGAGACACGTCGAGATCTGAGACACGTCGAGATCTGAGACACGTCGAGATCTGAGACACGTCGAGATCTGAGACACGTCGAGATCTGAGACACGTCGAGATCTGAGACACGTCGAGATCTGAGACACGTCGAGATCTGAGACACGTCGAGATCTGAGACACGGCTCGAAAAGAGCATATATCTGATCTTGTACCTTGGCTCAGACCTGACCCTGGTCACGTCGCTACTGAAGTTGAGGTCCGACATCAATGTTACTGAGGCGGCTACGCCAGACGTGATATGTACGAGATATGTCCGGTATAACATGAGATTAATTAAGTGAAATAGTGCACCACGTCCAGCGTTCACAATATAATTATTACATTATTATTATAATCAATAATTAATACTATTTATATAAGCAATAATTAAATTATGTAATTATTAATTGCTGACCTGCGAGATGGCGTCACCCACGGACATGTGCACAGCATCCAA